ATGCAATATAAAAGCAGGCATCCGAAGAACCGAAACAAAATCAAAAAATTCAGAAAGAATGAATTGTTCTACGCGACAACTTGTAATACTTGCATACCTTCTTGAGCTTAATGAGAATCTATGTAAACACGTTCGATCGGTGAGTCATAATTTACAATAAAATTAGCATGCATTATCCTGGATGTCTGCGTAAAGTCCGATTAGAATCGACTGCGGTATAATAACGCGATTAATTATCTCTTCGTAATCAATTACCGCGTAGTTAACACTTTGACCGCGTGCAATCTTAAAAATTTCATAACACGTGCGTAATTTACAGAACGAAATGAAAATGGAAAAGTTAAGATCCATGATGCTTGCGATCAATCTTCTTGCCGCGGTACTCAAATTGACACTTTATCTACCGGAAGACTATTATTAATAGAGTTTTCAATTATCGTGATATAGGAAACAAAAATCTTAACAATCTTTTCCACGCGACAATCGCAAATAAATTGATTAGATCGTATTGTTGGCTAACAAGTCATTAAATAAATATTAACGTCTGCATGTGCCATTCCAGAACAGTAAATCAATTTTTAATCTTGTTTACACATTTACTGTCAAAAGAAAATTGTCGCCGTTCATAGAAAATGAAATATAGTCCTTGATTTAACACTAAACCTACCGCGGTCAAAGTGACCGCTTTCTTATTTTGCAATTCTGCAAAGTTCCGAGACTCTTTCGTGGAAAACGCTTGAATAAGTTATATTATTGGAGCAAGTTTTACAATAAAAACTTTACGAATCCTAAATAAATTCGGTCTTCTCACTTTTGCGAAGCAGTACATGCCAGTTAGTATTACTGCTTGGTAGGTTTAGTGTTAATAAAGTTTTTATACGGTTCGAAACTATTCTTTGATAATTTGTCGTATTATTAAGTTCTTAAATTCTCAATCGTAAATGGAGAACTATCAAAATCTGTGGAATCATCGTCGGTGGATCATGGCGTTGCCATGGTCGCGTTTCACATATTCGGTTTCTCGCCGTGCAGATTTGCACCGTCCTGGGGGTCTGCAACAGCACGTGGTTCCAGCGTTCATTTTGTCTTCGCGATACATGATAGCCGTGCTCGTTTTTTCCTTCGGCGTCGTATCAGTTGACGATATGTCACGCTGCCGCGTTAACGCAACTCGCATGCGTGCACATCCATTACGGCGAACGTGCTAAATATGGTGAACGATTTTATAAAAATCTTCGCTAATTCCAAAAACGAACGGTGGGAGGTGTTTAAATATCTATGTGACTCATTTCGCGAAGATCAATATTATCATCGTCGATTCGCACGTTCGTAGTCGACGATCCTTGACGCCTTTTAGTCTGTCCTCTGAGCAACTCAGATGTTATTGAGACAACAGGTGAATCACGCAGCCTTTAGGTAGACTCTGCCATTGTTCGCTACGTAATGTTTTGAGACGCCAAGGCTTTTAGGAAATAGTTTCCTTTTTCGGCGAGCGAGCTGTTATTCTGCAGGATTTCTCATTTGAGGGGGGTCAGAAGTAAATTGTCGGAACCGATTAGTAGACTGCGAATTTTATGCATTTATGGCAGAAATGAGTAGGTGAAATTTAAAACAGTGAAAAGATTTAAAAGAATAGAAGAAAAATTTATTAAAATTTATTAAAATTGAGAAAGAGTACAGTTGGCTTCTATCGCTTGCAAACGATGTAGGCAATCTTTATGCAAAATAAAAATGTCGTTCTGGAATTGTATGAAACTAGAACTAAAAATGTATTTCTTCTTTTAATAGTTTTAATCAATTGTAATGTCACAGGGTTTTTCAATTCTTCGAATATTTCGCGAAAAATATGAAATCAGTTCGATGCAGCTTGATAAAGTTTTTGAAAGAAATTATACAAATTTTGTAGAATCTGATAATTCGAAAATTAAAAAGGGAACACAAGTTAAGAAATAAAGTCGTTATTTATTACAAAATATCAACGGAACATTTTCTCAAGTTTATTCCTCGTAAAAGTGACTCGAGGCACGCAAGTTACGTGATTCGCCCTCTACGTGTCAGCTTTCGATGAAAACACGGTGGTGAACGCGTTGCGTTCACACGTTCGCGGACGCGAATGCCGTAGCATTCATTTTCATTGCGATGCAAGATGGCACGAATGCTGTAACGTTCAAATTTATAAGCCACGCTGTCATGCATTCATCTCTTTACAGCGTTTATTTTTCGTATTTACTACGCGCTATAATGTAATGGCTAACTGCTTTGCCGAGTATTTTCATCTCGTTTTGTCTTTCCTTTGCGTATAAAAGATACAGCTATTAACCCATTGACTCTTACGCAAATTTAGCGCGTCTTGCCCTGGATGTCACGGTTTTATTTGAAAGAAAACATGAAGTTTTACAAAATATAATAATATTAACCGTTTGCGTACCACGAGCCACTTTTGCGCTCTTCAGATTTTGTGTCGAGAAAAGCCAGGGCATTTGGTCGAAATAGACAACTTACGGCCCACCCGAAATTTGTCGAAACGTGCTCAGTCTTTCGGACGCACGTATACGTCGCACGTCGCATCGCTGTCAGTAATCCAATTTGCATTTTGTTGTTACCTATTTTAAATTAATAGTATATATATTTTCATTCAGAACGTTTTATTTTATGTTTTACGGCTTTTTTCGACACATAATCGAAGGAGCGCTATTGCGCTCTTCGGCTTTTTTCGACACATAATCGAAGGAGCGCTATTGCGCTCTTCGGCGCTTTCCGATCCTGTTTTTTTCAGAACCATCTGGTACGCAAACGGTTAAGTTACTGATATAATATTGCAATGGCATTTACAGTATTTTTTTATTGATAATCAATATGTTCTCTACACTCTATATACACTTTTCATTCATCCTTTCTAATAGTTCCTAACTCAAATAGCCATTTGTAGCCAATCCAAACTTGCAGCACCCACTACGAGATATCTCGTAGCTGGCAGTTTTGGTACAGACGCTTGCTACGAGATATCTCGTAGTTGGCAGTCAATGGGTTAAAATGTGATATTTCCGAGCATTCCGATAAAATTGTGACCAATCGAAATTTCGATATCACAATTAGTTCCAGAATCAATTACCTGTCTATTTTTGCATGATTTCCGCGCCGGTTGCAAAACGAGCGATTGAAAATACTTGCGGAGCCGCAAGGGGGTTAATAGCCTTTGTCGCGACGATGTCGAAGCCCGGGCGTGGGCGGTAGGCGTTTCGTCGCGAGAGCGGCTAATTTGCCGCGGATCGGCGGATTGCTTAAACACGTGTTGTCGTTTGCAGGTTCACAAAGGTTACTGCGGGAGTTGCGATGCCAACGTACCACAATGCGGGTGGCGGATACCCGAATGTGTCAGCGCCAGCGCGGCAAGCGAAGCTCGACGGCAACCAGAATCACCATACGATCCCCTCAAACGTAACGTCCCATCCCCTACTACAGAACAGCACGCAACACAACGTTCCTTCCAACTTGTCTGCAAGCAACATTCCGTCCCATCCACCAGTATCACCGACAATGACTACGCATTCGAACGTCACCGCTCCAAATCTAACCAGTCACATGAACACTGGATCACCGCCGGTGATCCTCACCACGAACACCACAAATCCTAGCAATCCCACCGCGTTAGCGGTGAATCCGAGACACGAGGTCAAACTGAACGCCATGCCGTACGTATTCATTCATTGCACACTTTTTGTTTTTTCTTCTTCTTCTTCGCTTAGCATACAGTCAAACTTTGTTTATGTGAACACGTCGCGAGACGAGCGGTCGCGTAACTAGATATGTACATAGTTCGTTCATAAGAGTCGACCGACTTCCCCACTATTTACGTTCGAATAATTGAAGCTCGCGTTCAGGTAAGTTGATTTAATCGCACGTCTCGTTTGGTCCTTGGATTACAGTAATAGCTCCACGCGTCTGTCATGCATATAATATAATTTCATACGATCAACCTGGCACTAGTTCGAGTCACGGGGGCCGAGCTAGAATTCATAATATCAGGCATCGACGACAATTTCGTTCACATAAACGGCGTTCTACTGTGCATAACCGCGAATCGATCCAACCGATCGGTGGATTGTGGAATTTTATGCAAAATAAAAATTGTCCGAACCGATTGCAAGGAACGTAAGTCAGGTGGAAATGTTTTTATACAGGGTGTCCCAGGTTTTAATGTTCAAACTTTGTTAGTGTATTCTATGGCACAAAGTAAGAAAAAAATGTTATGTAAGCATAGGTCATATAGAGCTTTATTAAGAAGTTATGACAAAAATTCAGAATAGGAATAGTAATCAACTAAAAAAAAAAGATAAAAAGTAAAAAAAATCTTCGATCAATGTCAATCATGTATTGTCAACAACGGTTATTGATACATTTCGAAATGTATCAATAACCGTTGTTGACAATACATGATTGACATTGATCGAAGATTTTTTTTACTTTTTATCTTTTTTTTTTAGTTGATTACTATTCCTATTCTGAATTTTTGTCATAACTTCTTAATAAAGCTCTATATGACCTATGTTTACATAACATTTTCTTCTTACTTTGTGCCATAGAATATACTGACAAAGTTTGAACATTAAAATCTGGGACACCCTGTATATGTTTTAATAATATTAACAAGGTGTACATAATGTAAAAATATCGTCGGATTCTTCTCGCGTCTTTGGAATGTTTGTGTTTGATCCAGTCATTTTTGGAAAAAGTGCATGAAATCTGCAACCTACTGACCAGGCTCTCGTTATTAACGCCTTGACATACGCACTAATACGTTAAGTGCTGCAACATCGATCTCGAAAATTCTCGCAGAATCAAAGTAATTTGATCGATGAAACCAAAATTAAAATGTTAATCGTAGTGGATGCTGCCTGAACTGTTTTGCATTCGAAAGTCCTAATAATAATTATTATTATTATAATTATTATATAATAATTATAATAATAATAATAATAATTATTAATATTAATTATTATTATTATATAACATATTATTATTATATTTTTCCGAATCAATCGAAAATACTATGTCATACATAGCCTGGCACGATCATTACTGAACACGACTAAACGTTTCACGATCTCTTTTATCCGATTTCCTCCGACATGATTTACCAATCCAAATCCACGCGATTAATTATATCCTGCGATCTTGAAACTAAATTTGAAAATTATTACACTGCCGATTAAACCCCACAAATTAGAACTACTAAATTATCAAACTACCAATTAAATTTCACCGAAAATTATAATTTCGAGGCGCGAATATAATCGCAGACGACACACTTGCAACAAACCAGTGCTATTTAATGGAAAGCTGAATCTAAAAGGCCCGCGCTCTTAATTGTTTTGAACGTTGTTGATGTTCATCGTTCCGTCCTGCTTTCACACGCAAGCTTACGTGTATACATAATTGTTTGCGACAGACGTACAAAATACCGGCGTCACAGATGTCCCCAGAACGTTTTATGTGTCAGTATGTTGTACAAACTCATTCCACAGTTTTCCATTTGCTGTATCATACGAATACGGTTTAGAAGAAAATTAACGACGAATTGTGAAAGTAGATACTCGAAACTTTAAGAAGGAGTCCAGGTTTATTGTCCGATAATTCTCGTTTATGGAATTATAACGATTTAACGCGTTCGCTGTGTACACCTTCCTTTAAATTTTTTGGTCCATTTTTCCCGAATTGTAATTACCGTCTATCGTGATTTCTCCAGTGTATGCTTGTTATTTTACTACATCGATTTAATCTTGCACATTTTTAAGTACTTCATTTTATTATAATACCCGTATTGATATGAACTATATGGTATTTTCGTTCTACTAAAATTTTAATCACCACAATTTTACTTGGCTTTCTTTACGTATTTAAAAGTGTTCGTACTTGAAACGCTTATAGGATTAAATAAACATTGTTTGATGTCTACTACAACTGTGCACCACGTACACTCGGTTTAACATCTCAAGAAAATTCAAGTCATTTGGACCAATTTTAAAAATGTTATTCCGTTTGAAAAGGTATTAATAGCGGACGTGATAAGCGTCTACCATTTCTCAAAAATCGAACACCAACCAAAGTTTAAAGTACAATTGAGCCGTTTATTTTGAAAGTGGCATAAGTCACTTTACCGTAATGAAAAGTGGTGATTTTTTAATGTTTATACGAAATTATTTATACTGAGAAAAATATCAGTATCCTGAGATAACAAATACAAGTAAATCTTCTCGAAAGTTAGCATCTATATTTTTAAACGTGTTAAAACGCAAACCAATAAATATATCGACTTAAAAACAAAGTGACTTATGCCACTTTCAAAATAAACGGCTCAATTAACATATTTCGAGATACTTTGTAGAATATACTGCTCACTTAATGGTGCGAAGACATTGTATTCTATACGTATATTCCATCAAAAGATTCAGCAGATCGGTTAGCTTAAACGTCTTAAGCTTAAACGCGTGTCTCGTTGTCAACGTTGCATCGCTTTACGCAATATCCGCGATCTCTGTGTACCAAACTGATCCACAAGAACCCTAAAATCACTTTTGACAAATATACCTTATAGTCCTTTATTCTGATCGCAAACGCGTCGAAATGCTTTCTGAAGCGACCGCCTCAAGCAACGCCTTAAGCAACCACCTAACAGTTAACGCGTGTCTCGTTGTCAACGTTACATCGCTTTACGCAATATCCGCGATCTCTGTGTACCAAAATGATCCTCAAAAACCCTAAAATCATTTTGACAAATATACCTTATAGTCCTTTACTCCGATCGCAAACGCGTCGAAACGCTTTCTGAAGCGACCACGTTCGAACGGAAAAGTCTGTCGGAGATCGCGACTCTCGAGCAGCTCGAGGGCTCACGTGTCCCAGACTCGCATAAGCCATCTAGGACCGCCTGGGGCGGGTTGTTGCAGATGGTTTCACGGGAAGATATCGCGGGAAACTGCGGAGAGATTGCTGCGGCCGCGGGAGGACGGCCTGTTCCTGGTCCGGGAGTCGACGAACTTCCCCGGCGATTATACGCTGTGCGTGTGCTACCAGGGCAGGGTGCAGCATTACCGGGTGAAGTACAAGAACAACCAGCTTACCCTCGACGACGAGGAGTTCTTCGAGAACCTGGCGTTGCTGGTCGAGCACTACGAGCAGGACGCGGACGGGTTGTGCACGCAGCTGACCAAGTCGCTGCCGAAGCAAGGCAAGCAGGACTTCTGCGTGGACCCTAAGGCGTTCATGGAGGCCGGCTGGGTGATCCAGACCCACGAGCTCGAGCTGAGGGAGTGTATCGGCAAGGGTGAGTTCGGCGACGTATTGCTGGGCGTCTATCGGGGGGAGAGGGTCGCCGTCAAGATGCTGAAGGACAACAGCGAGGCGGCGCAGAGGTTTCTAGCCGAGGCCAGCCTGATGACTTCGTTGATCCACGACAACCTGGTCAAGCTGCTCGGACTCGTCTTCAACAATCAACACATGTACCTGGTTACGGAGTATATGAGCAAAGGATCCCTGGTGGATTACCTGAGATCACGGGGTAGATTGCACGTTTCCAAAAAGGATCAGATCAACTTCGCGTAGTACGTAGACATTTTTGTTGCTCCTTTTTGCCTAGCGTTGCTCGTCGAGCGCTATACGAGGGACTCTGCTGTAACACGCCGCTCTTGTCGTTCTGTTTCAGTGACACGTGTGCTGGCATGGCGTATTTAGAGTCCAGACACGTAGTGCACAGAGATCTGGCCGCGAGAAACGTTCTTGTCGCGGAGGACAACTCCGCGAAAGTGTCCGACTTCGGGCTGGCACGGGACGAGAACTTTTCCCTAGAGGGCGGCAAGCTACCTATCAAATGGACTGCACCAGAGGCTTTAAAGCAGAATGTAAATATCGCCTCTGTTATTTTTATTTCTAGCATTTACCGTGATTGAGACGGCTGTTCTCTTAACCCTTGTGTACTGTTACGGTCAATTGCTTCCATAAGCAGATCTTTGATTTTAATTGGGATTTTTCTGGAGCCGGTTACTCTAGAATGACCAATTGCCGTGTCTTTGGTTTGTTTGATTACAGAATAAAAGAATACAAAAATTTAACGTGTCTTATCCGATAAATATAAATTTAATTATGTCCGTAAACGAACCAAAGTCACTGCAATTGGTCACCCCACAATAACTGGCTGCACTGCTCTATTATATCAGTTTATTTTACCCTTGGCATTATATTTATTATTATATTATTATATAATATAATTATAAATATATAATATAAATAATATTATTATATATATATATATTATTATTATATTTAACCGTACAATTTTTCACATAGATTATTTTGTATTCGTACTGTGCGTAATTATTGAAAATCAAACGAATTTTTGGAGCAAATTGATATTTCAAGTTATTGTGATGGCAACTTTTCTGTTTACAGAAGTTTTCAAATAAGTCTGATATGTGGAGTTTCGGAATACTCTTGTGGGAGATCTATTCCTTTGGGCGTGTACCATACCCACGAATTGTGAGTAATTTTTCATCGAATTATTGCGATCTCTCCTTTTCTACTTCTTCGATCTTGTTCGCATAATTGCAACACTTTTTTTTGCGTTTTTCCAGCCATTGGCGGACGTTGTAAAATGCGTGGAGAAAGGATACAAAATGGAGCAACCGGACGGTTGTCCGCACGAGGTCTACGACATTATGAGACAAGTAAGTACCCACGTCTAAACGAAAGAAAAGAGAAATTGTAATTAATCGAATATTCTTCGCCAGGCATGGGACTTACAGCCTGAAAAGCGACCGACTTTTTACGATATAAAAATAGTGTTGGGTCAACTGAAAGCCGAGTACACCAAAGGTGTGAATTAAAAGGAGACGCCACTTATTTTTAGTAGGCTCGATCTAAAAAAGACAGGAAACACGAAATTAGCATTCCCAGGGTCGACATTTCGTTGGAATCAGGGGCGGAGAGGAGGGGGTAGTGCCTCTAAATGATTCTCCCCAGAGAATGCAACGTGTGTGTTTTCTTTCATTGTACATTTTTCTTTCTCTTTCATTGTACAAAATAGTATCCACGTCGCTTGTATTTATTGTTATCTTTAATCTTCTATGGATAGAGCCTGTTTGAGTTTTTTTGTTTGTTTGTTTTTTTTTGTATGAGAATATTCTGCGTACACATTCACCTGCGTCAATCGTGCCTTTGGCCAAGTTTGAGAGGTTCACACGACGGGATAAAAGATGGAATAAAGGAATTTTAACTTGTACTTCAGGTAGTACTTAGAAGGAGAGCTCGGAGTTGGATGAATTCTTTGACTATGAAATACTTACCTATTACTTAAATCCTTTTTATAGTCACGTTTTCTCTCGAGAGCTACGTGGACTTCCGAAATGGGCTTTTTTGTCGTTCTCACGGCCCTTGAAATCTTTCCGGGTGTATGAAGCGCCTTACATTGAACTGAATTTAAACAGATAGATAAACAGAAACGGTCGCTATATAAGCACCCACTTATACAATAATCTTTTGAACTTAAACTCGTAAGGTTGGATGTCGGAGAGAAAGAGAGAGAGAGAGAGAGAGAGTTTTTTTTTGTTACGTAACTGTAAAACCGGACGGAAAATAGTTGGGGATTAGAAGATTTATACCTATGTGCGTGGTTTGAGAGATTTTTCCCTTTGTTTTGAGGAACGCTGCAGCAAGCTGTATATTACATGTTAGTCGTGTAAGTTCTTTAATCAAAGATTCGTCATAGTGAAGTATTAATTTTTAAAACTAAATTATTGCAGCCAAGGTACACATGGATTGTTTAAGTTAACCCTGCGAGATATATAAATATATTATATATATATATATATATATATATATATATAGTAGTGTAAATGTATCTGTAAATAGTTTTGTACATATCCGATTATCGAGAAAAGAATTAATATTTCGAATACGGTTGATTTTGGTTAGGAAATTTAATATCGTGGATTGTTCATAATTCTTTTTTTTTATTCTAGTTCGTAAGGTAATGATTGATTTACGCCGCGATATCGAATTGTCCATGCGCAATCGCACCAATGTAACGCAACATAATGCCACAAAACAGTAAAGAAACTCATATGGAATATTATATATGCACAGGGTGGTCCGTGTGAAGTGTTACAAGTGTTTTGATGGAAACTATAGCAGATATGAACTAATATCTTTTTAAGGTTCAAGGTTATATTATTTTCTATATCTGTGAGAATTGCTTTTGAAAAACTGAATAACATATTTAATTCAACCATTTTTCGTTATTTTGCCTAACTAAAGAGTTAAAATTAGACTACCGGTTTTATGTATTTATAAAATGAGTAGGTGAAATATAAAACAGTACAAATATTACAAGAATTGAAGAATATTATAATGTTATGCTCAATTTACGCAAATTAAGGAAAGACGAAATAAAGTTTTATTTCATTCCAGTATCTTGCAACTGATGCAGAAAATGTTTATTTTGCATACAGGTCTTGTTATGACAAAAGACAAATTGTAACGTAAAAAGATATTAGTCGATGCTGTTGTAGTTCTAAGGAGACGGTTTCTAACACTTCACGCGGACCATCTTGCACATCTACTAGAAATAATTAAAAGAATCGTAGACTTTCGTGTTATTCTATCTCTTTCTTCTGTAATATAGGATCCCATGACTTATTTAATACTTTTTCCAACAGTTATTAAAGGACTAAGAATATTTATTCATAGAGGGTAGGCGGATTTCGACGAATTAGAGGAGAGAAAGTGTGGGAAAGTGTGAAAGAGAAAGATATAGAGGTAAAAATACTCTAAGCATAAAGTATCCTGGATTATCAGATGATTATAAATTGGTATCATATCGGTATAAAGTTTCTCGCTTTAAGCACAAAAGTTTCTTGTGAACGGGACGTCTGTAATACTTTTTGTCAGAGTCGTATACACTCGGAGACTTGTTGTTAGAAAATTAAATGAAGAAGATGAAGAAGAAGAAGATGAAGAAAAAAAAGAAAAAACAAGGCAATGTACTCAGTTCCTCGCATTTGTTAATTGTTTTGCAATAGCATCTGGAAGAAGGATCGTCGCGACTGAATAAGCTTCGTAACGATAATATTAATTGCTAAGCAACTCTGTCACGTGTGAGAGAGAGCATGTTTATAGTCTGGTTAACATCAATCGACGACTCATGGCCGTGTTTCCCGCCACGGAAACTGACAGACTTTCGCTATTGTAATGCATTTAAGAATAATAAAATTTGCGATAGAGATATGCGAATAACAAACAGGACAGACTTTTTAGCACAATCAAATTTATACCTTAGAGATAATTGAGAAACTAATTAAATACATTAAGATTCGAAAAATATCTGTTCAGAAAACTACCTTTGACAAAATGTATTCGTGCAAACAAATCTAGAACAATCTCAGAGTTTATTTTTTAAGAATTATAATTAATTAATGATGTATGCCGTTTGTAGAAAATTTTATTCGACAACAAGTGAAACTATGAATTTATTAAGCTTTCGTTAGGATCGTACTTAACATCCGCGTATATTCTGTAAGTGCTTAATATAATATGTTGTTTCAGCGTAAATAATAGCAAAATTAATTACAATTTGAGAAAAGGTTCATTCAATATCGAGCGTTTAGGAAATTCTTTTAATATTTTGTCGTATTGCTTAAAATCTTCTATAATCTTTGTTTGGTAAACGGACAAAAGTATTACGTTTATTATAAATATTATCTTAAATATAAGTAGTTCTTTCATCGTTTTTCTCTAATATGTATATACAATTTTTTTCTACTCAATTCTATATTCACAATTCTGGTAAAATATTTTCTATGACCACTGATTGTGCTAAAATGGGCACACCTTTAAAGAACAGGGAAGACGGTTTCGCAATTGGCCCTGAGCGACAGATTGACCTTAACTCGACTATAGTTTGAAAGTAGTAGGTAGTCGTATTAAGCGTGTAGCGTATTTATAAACGTGCAGTCCATTTATAACTTCGATGACATGTAACATAATGTATATGGCTCTAATCAGTACCTAACGTTCCCGAACAATTATATCTCTGAACCGTGTTTTTCACGTTACGAAGTTGTTTTAGACGCCCGCGAGTATATCCGCGTCCTTGCTTTGTACTTCTTTACGTTTCCGCTCTGAACATTGGACCCCTCCCCTCCGTACTATGTTGTACCCTCTATCAAGCAGCATGATTATTGCTACCGGTTACAGTGTGCAACAACGGTTACTTGTTCTGTGAAAATCGCTGTCTACACGAGTACAGTATTCTCCTCCCGTAACGTCCTACAACCGAAGTGGAAAAGCACTGTTTCGTCTTTGTGCCGATTAGCTGCCAACTCGATTTTTTTTTCATCGAACTTCTGAGAATAGAAAAACGGTATTTCCTCCGTAACGATTTAAAGACGTCGAGAAGCTCGAAATCAGTCGATGCTATATTACTTCCTGTTTCGTTGCTTTCCGATTGGTTTTCGCTTCGTTACTGATTCAGTTGCAAGATGACAGGGATAGAAATACGTCGCTGCGGAGGAAATACAGTATAGCGTTATGGAGGGAATATATTATATGGACAAAATGCGATGTTAACGAGGAATTATTGTACTCGTCGCACAGAACGGTGTCGCAGTCTTCTGAATATGAGCAGTGTGTTGAATTCGTTTATTTTTTATTCAGGATAAAAATCTATTCTAGCTTGTAAGAAGTTTAATATATATATTGAATACATACATACATATATATAATATAATATAATATAATATAATATAATATAATATAATATAATATAATATAATATAATATAATATAATATAATATATATCATATAATATTATATAATATTGTATAATAATATTAATATATTATAATATAATATAATATAATATATATGTATGTATGTATACATTGAATAACAGACTACATGGTAACCATGGACACGAGTGTGTTAACTATAAGTAAAGGGTGCATCTGGGTCCGCTTTCGAGGACGAATGAATGTGACTAGAAGTATACGCGACGACGATATGGAACACGGTGTATTGTGAAGAGTATCCATGTTTTTGGCCTCCATAAAGTCCGGTCTGAAACGACCCCCCCAAGAATGTTCAAGTATAGTTCGACCGCGGTCACTCGCGTTGTTACTCCGCTACAATTCTAAAGATTCTCGATAGGGATTGCTACTATAGCGGCGAGGTGAACTGGTCCGCCGACCAGACCATGCGACAGTTAACGAAGTGAATTAACGGTTAATAAAGGAAGGAGAAGTTACACTGCATTCGTTCACCGGTTGTAATTATTTCCAGCTACGGGAGCATGCGCACATGTACATGTAACTCATTTTTTTCATATCGCAGTTTTTAACGTGCAGAGCGCTTCATGAAATACGAGACCGACAATACACTCATCGAGGGAAAATAGTAATTATCATCTTTTGCACTCGTAATTATTTCTATAATTGTCTACTTTTAAAGGAATTTCAGCATAGCATCGTGCATTTTAATTTCTATATTGTTGTGCTGTCTGTAAAAATGAATATTACACATTAGTTCTGTTACGATAAGATCGTACAATTAAGAAAAAATTCTACAACATGTATTATCGGATCATTGAACTCATTTTACGAACATTGTATAATTGCATCACCGTTGATGCAATCGATCTTCTATAATCGTAATATTTTGTTCGTATCTTCGTGGCGAGTCTCGCATTTCATGGGGCATCCTGCGCAAGTGGATTCGGAAAATTTGCGCCGTAAAATAGGTTTCTGGGTCCTCCGAAAACGCCCAGTGTTCGACGAGACGTTTCGACGATGTTCTACGGCGCAGTCACAAAATTCCAAGTTACATCCGAAGAAGAATATCATCGCGCACAGGAAAGGGAAACGCGACAATTGTAATAAATTCGCCTGTTCTTATCTCGGCATTTTTTCTATTTAACTTCCAATGTTACATTTTACTGCCAAATGCTAATAAATTCGTGATATTCGTTCGACTAAACGTTTGGTTGTTATTGTTCCGCAGAATAGTCGTGTATATTTGTTACCTGCTCGCTTTCAGCCGTCGAATTGTCGTCGGAAAAGGCGTTACAATCGATGGTAACACCGTTTTCTGCATCCACCGTCAACGAAACTTTCCTGTCTACCGTACTATCCTTTTCAGTATGAAAATTGCCAACAGATCGATCGTCCGATAAAGAACAAAATTTCTCGCTAGATCTCAAACGACGATCGGATTGTTCCGGTCTCGCAGACATTTTATTCGTTTCGAATCGTCTGAAAGTTATACAGGGACGCGTTCGCTCAGAATTTCGTGGATCTTTTAATCGACTTCTAATTACGAAGCTTCTGCGAACTCTCGACGGCTGCGTCAACCTCGTCCCCGACAATTTTCGTAATTGCTCGCTAGTCGATCCACCTATTAGCACGTAACTTTTGTCTCCTACGCCTCTAATTATCGTGTGCCTCATTTTACGTACTCTGTACAGTTTGCTACCGACGGGAACGTAACTTTCCGACGAGTTGGTCGGCGTTCTGCGATCGATGTCCGTCGGAAGTAAAATCCAACCGTCTTTTCGAGAAATCGCTGTTTTATTCGCTGCCGTGTTGATTCGACGTAAGGAAACAACGCCGTTGGCATTCCATAATTTACCGAGGTACAGGTTTGAGAAGATAGTCTGTAAGTTCGGCACATTGTCTACCAGCCAGCCGAATCGATCTCCGATCGTCGAGCGAATTGCGGAAGTGACGCCGTCCTCGGATTTCGTGTCTTGGGAACCGGAAGTGATTCCATTGCAACCGATCTTCGAGGAATCCGGCACAGCACCGTTCCGACGACGAACACACTGCGAGAGCCTCGTTATCTTCGCGTTCGACTTCGCTCGCATCAATGGAGGAAAGCGTTTGAACTCTTCGATCATTTTTTGGCCTGTAATTCATCATTGTTGGTTTGATGCGCGCAAGAAAACAATGAAATCTCGAGGAAAGAACCAACGAGTATTTAAACGTTGAGTATTATAACGTTGTAGAAGATCAAAGTAGATCTTGTTTGTTTCAATAAGAGGTTAAATTGTAGGCAGAATATACGATTAATTTGTCTCAATGAAAGTATGATCGATAGATAAAATGATAAGATTAGCACAGAGTATAACCGAAATTGATCGAGACATTTTACTTTACTTTATTTCAAATCTGTCTGATCAGCTTACGTGCGTTATTTCGTAAGTAGTTGAATTATTGCTTTGTTATTGCAATTCTATGCCGTTGATTATTAGGCGTACGCTATAGATTAGATACGAAGCTATCTGAAACTTGTTAAAACGTTTCAAAAGTGGTAAAATATTAATTTCAAAATATCTAGTGTATACTACTTAATTTTACTAATTTATTAATTTTTCCTTGGTATTTTATAAAAGTATGAATCTCTATAATAGTATAATAGTTACGATATTTAAACTTTTTAACACACTTAGCCAACCGAACGGGGAGATTCCCCCGTTTTAAATTCAGTCGATTTACGACCGAATTGATAATTAATGAAAAATTAACAATGATTGCTTAATTTTATTACGATTTGCAAAAGGTACGAATGCTGATGAAGTAATTGATGTCATACGAGTTTGCTTCGTAATTTTTGTTTAATCGAATGAAATATTTTAATTTTATGAAAATTTTTGAGGTTTCTAGCGCGGTCGTGGAAGTGTTAAGAACTGCAGAAATTATTAGGTCTACCAGAAAGTTCTGTCCGATAGTGTCACTTCAAGTTTCAATCCATATGCACATGTTGATTTGAGACATATGTGACTATCTATCTTCATCATTGCATTTACACACATGTACTCTCCTAAATAAACTGAAACAAAGATGTCTCATGTCATTATTAAGTGAGACGCGATCGTGAAAACATGGCTACCGATGATAATGCCAGACCACATGCTGCTTTGGCGACTCGTCGGAATATCGCAGAGCTAAGCTGGGAAATTCTGTCGCATCCACCATACTTCCCAGACCTAGCACCCTCCGATTATCACTTGTTTCTCTCTTTGCAAAACTTTTTACAGGAAAAAAANATTAACAATGATTGCTTAATTTTATTACGATTTGCAAAAGGTACGAATGCTGATGAAGTAATTGATGTCATACGAGTTTGCTTCGTAATTTTTGTTTAATCGAATGAAATATTTTAATTTTATGAAAATTTTTGAGGTTTCTAGCGCGGTCGTGGAAGTGTTAAGAACTGCAGAAATTATTAGGTCTACCAGAAAGTTCTGTCCGATAGTGTCACTTCAAGTTTCAATCCATATGCACATGTTGATTTGAGACATATGTGACTATCTATCTTCATCATTGCATTTACACACATGTACTCTCCTAAATAAACTGAAACAAAGATGTCTCATGTCATTATTAAGTGAGACGCGATCGTGAAAACATGGCTACCGATGATAATGCCAGACCACATGCTGCTTTGGCGACTCGTCGGAATATCGCAGAGCTAAGCTGGGAAATTCTGTCGCATCCACCATACTTCCCAGACCTAGCACCCTCCGATTATCACTTGTTTCTCTCTTTGCAAAACTTTTTACAGGAAAAAAATTCAAAACTGAAGCTGATGTCAACCAAGCGCTAGTCGAGTTCTTCGCCTCTAAAAATAAATCATTTTTAAAAAATGGCATTTACAAGTTGCCATCACGCTGGCAAGAAGTCATAAGTAACGATGGAAAGTATATTCTACAATAAATATTATTAAATGTGTGAAAGTTGTGTTATATTTCAATTCAAAAACGGACAGAACTTTCCGGTAGACCCAATACAATCGCTACAATCCGGAAAACTATTCCAAGTGTAAACGAGAATATCGAGTATTCCGATCATAGATATTTCGACCATGTAAGAACACACGCTGTACTCACTATGCGATCCAGCGTCTTCCACAAGCATCGACTGCCTTTGAGTCGGTTCTTCCAAACGCGAGTTTAATCCACTCTCGCGCTTCCTTTCATCGTTCATATCGCATACCTTCTGGGAACTGATCTTTTCTGCACGGAGGCACGCGTAATTCTCATTCTTCGCATTCTCCGGGTTGTCGACCCTCAATACCGGGTTTGTAGAATCCTCCACACCCACCAACTTTGAATCGGTGAACTTGTTTCTCATCGTACATCTGCCAAAGTCGCCGCCACTTCTGTCGTACACACTACCGGTCAACATTGCAACAACCTGGACATTTTCCGTTTTCGATGTGTTCCCTAAGTTATTCTGATCCGATTTATCCGAATTGGCGTTACCATCGTTTGCGGTACTTTTTTGGAAGCTCGTTCTTGATTTAGGTTTACTGAAATGTCTTATGTCAGACATTTTATTAGCTTTGATCACCCGCACACACGCGTATCCTTTCTTCTTTCGACCCTTAACAGATTTCTTGGTCCCTTTTACTTCAGGATCTTTAGGATCCTCCGAGGCCGTCTGTTCTTCCTCGACGCTCCGTTCAATTTCTTCCTTACTGTCTTCAGTTATTTCGGACTCAGCCTGTGGCTTCTCATCTACTTTCGACGATGCTCCATCATCGCCTCCAGTTCCCCCAATCTCGTCTAGCTTCGGCAATTCTTCGGCTTCTGTTTCTTTAACTTTCTGCGCGTCATCTTCTTCCAGAGCCTCTAATAATTTACACGGCCTCTGACACTCAGCATCTCCGACATTCGAGTGGTCAATTTCAGCCTCGAACCGAGCCTCGACGACGGTGATTTTTCCTTTAATCTTGACACTAGCATCCCGATCACTGAACGCTCGAAGTTTTTTTTTATCCTCGTCGAGACTATCCTCCGACGAGGTCAGCTCGCAGATGCAAGATTCGCGGCTGCATCGTCGACCGACTGATTGGTCTTTCGTTTCAGATCGCGCGCTTCCTTCGCCGGTTCCCGTGTCCTTGCTGGCTGGCGTTTCCTCGGACGTACTGGTCCCTTTGGTTTGGTCTTCCGGCTTCGTCGGCTGGGGTCCTCCTTGGTGGGGTTTGATGTATAGTCTCCTAGGATTGCGAACGGCTGGCGAGAAGGGATCCGGGGAATCCGGGACGACGCATGGTTCGAACAACTTGGCCGGGACGTAGCCGTAGGTGCACCGGGATTCCGAGAATTGACGTATGATCTGCGAGGTGAGCGTCGGTCCTGGCGCGATTGTGTTCCTACGGTTGTCTAACTCGGCCTCCACCTGTCGAATCTTCGCCTGGACGTTGTGCAGACGCGACTCGGCGATCACCCGCTGGGAATTGTACGGGGCGAAGTTTGCGTTCACCCTTTCGTCGCACTCCTTTTGTCTGAGGGCGGCTAGCAATTGTCGCAGCTCCGCGTTCGACTTCAATGCAAGTACTGCAGGCTCTATCGGTCCGCTGGTTTCTACCTGGTGGAAAGACCATGTTCAGTTGGTCAGAGTTTTGTTATTTTTCAACGTGCGGTGGCTGCTTCCTATGCTAGTTAGAGGATAAGTTCTCAGCTGTTTCTCCGGATAATACGTGAAGGGCGAGAAGATATACGGAAGATTCTGCTTATTTAACCTTTTAGGTACGGCTAAATTCTGCGCGAGGCTATTTCTCTGGACCGCAGGGTCTGATGTGTACTGTACAGAGTCTGATACTGTATATACAGGGTGTCTCAAAAATGTATCGCAATCCGAAAGTGGCGGGTTGCTCAGGCCATTTGAAGCAACTTTTTCCTTTACAAAAATTTCTCCGAGGCACGTTCCATTCGTCATTCGTAGAATTTTGTTACAATTTAATATTTCAATTGTAATTCTGGCGAAGACTAAATTATATTCGTAAATCTTAATATGTTTAAAATATTTAAAGGTCAAGACGAAATGAAACGAACAAATGAAAATTATAAATAACTTGAGTTGGATTCGTAACTTCTTGAGAGCTAACTCGTAAGCAGTGCAGTGGTGGTGCACGACACACGCGGGGGGGGGGGGGGACGCTTTGCAAAGAGATCGCCACAGTTAACTGGTTGAGGCTCTGTTTAACCCCTTACCGTACTATTTTCTTCGTGGTTACAATGATTAGAAGTTTCTCGATTGTAACAATTTTTCAAAGAAGAAAGAAGACAATTTATACTTATCGCGTGTCTATATTTACTTAAATGTTTAAATGCTGATGGCAAGAAATCAGAATTTTATTCAGACTAAAAAGAACGGAATAGCGTTCTTACTTAACAGACTATTACTAGAAATCTCCGTCACGTGTCAGACTCGTGAAAGTATGGCAAGGGGTTAATCGAGGTAGCAATGTCCTGATTGGATGTCCTCATTCCTTTCGTATAATTGAAACGATCTTTTTATGGAGTCAAAGGATGCGTTCAAAACAACTGATAGCCTAACTGACCGATAAGTCCTCTAACAAGCCCAGGATTAAACTATTTTCCTCAATCTCTCCCACTTCATTCGCCGAGTTACGAAAAGCACTTCCGGTCAAAATCGCAGTCATCGATGATGAATTCTCTAAACATCATTTTTTCTTCCTTTTCTCTTTCAGATAACGTTGATTTTGTGCAAAGAGTAACTTGCCCCGAGTGAAATGTAAATGAAGACGCGCGTAAACGTCGCGGCTCTCGCACCTGCAGCTTAGGCGAACAACGTGTTTTGATAATAACCACCCCAGCTCCCGCTTAGCTCCCCCTTTTCGCGCTCGAAATTGCTGGATAGATGTCTCGGAGACACGGCGCGCTCGACGCCAGAAAATTGTTATCTTAATTGTGTTTCCAGCTTAATGATGTACGTACGATGCGTGAGACACATGGGGGAGAATAGCTGAGCGAGAGCAAACAAGACAGTTCTGATGGAAAATAAATATGGTGAAAACTTAGATGGGCAAATTGGGAGAGGATAACACGACGGAACGATGGCAACAGCTATCGGAGACGCGTTGAAGGATCGCGTCCAGTTCCAATCCGCCGATTGTCAAGCAAAAACTTGTGGTCACGGATGACGAATCTAGAAACTAAGCTGGATCGTAACTCTGGTTCTATTCTAGATAAAGAACAATTACAAACTGCAATTTCGCTTCGTTTATCAAGCTCTCGCATCGTATAGTTTTGCACACAGCAATTTTACATCGGTTATCAAGTTTTATCGTTGAACAGTACGATTTTTTGTCTTCAGACAGAACTGCATTTGATTTTTCGCGTGATTTTGGACGAAATGAGGATGCAATGTGAACGAAATTATTGCTACTTTAATCTTGTCACGTTTTGTGGAATGCGTTAGTATTTATTTCTCATGAATGACGAAATTCTGAAGAATATAGCATAGATACCGCTTTGCCGAGGCTTAAATCGTTATCAGCGCGATGCTATAAAGTAGGATTCATTGTTGAAGCATGACTTAAATTGAATCAACGTGACGCAAAGTTACAGTCCCCCAATCCCATTGTTCGTGCAGTATTTGAACTTCTAAAACCAAATATGCGTTTCTGATAAATCTTTATCGGACGAACACGACTCCGTACAATTTTTCAAACGTTCCTACTGCTCCGTTGTATGACGGAATCTTTATAAATTAAACGAGGAAATATGATGTCCTCGATTCAAACATTGCTGGCCATCCACGTCTCTGGGAAGACGAAATGGATGATGTGGATGACCCAGGGACCGAAGGCCCAAAGAAATAGCTTATTTTATACATTTGGACAAAACAACCGGAATTCCAAACCACCCGTAGTAAGCAATTTCGTTAATCTTTGGGCACGACACGCCACTATAGTGGCTTCCGCGGATGTCATCTTTCAGAACGACACGCCACTATAGTGGCTTTCGCGGATGTCATCTCTCTGGACGACGCGCCACTATAGTGGCCTGCTCTAGTAGCTCACTCGCTCATCGTTTGAACCAAATAATCGTCTTTATATGCATTGTTTCACACTTCTTTTGTCTTCACATCGATTTACAACAGTCTACAGGGTGTCCCAAAAATGTCTCGCAATCCGGAAATGGCGGGTTCCTCGGATCATTTGAAGCAACTTCTTCCTTTACAAAAATTTTCTCCGAGGCACCGTTAACGAGTTATTAACGAAAAACAGTGACCAATGAGAGGCGAGCTCAGCTGGCGCGAGGCGATCGAGCCAATGAGCGGAACTGGGCTTCGCGCGCTGGTTGGCTGGGCCGCCTCGCGTCAGCCGTACTCGATTCTTATTGGTCACTGTTTTTCGTTAATAACTCGTTAACGGTGCCTCGGAGAAAATTTTTGTAAAGGAAAAAGTTGCTTCAAATGGCCTGAGGAACCCGCCACTTTCGGATTGCGAGACATTTTTGGGACACCCTGTATATACAGACAGAATATACAGTATCAGACTCTGCCGTCCAGAGAAATAGTCTCGCGCAGAATTCAGCCGTACCTAAAAGGTTAAAAGCCGTTTCTGTCTTCTACTCAAGTATTTCCTTCATGATCCATAATTGGTCACCAAATGTCATTTCCCAGTCATAAAGGCATTTTCCCGACTATTGTTTGCTACAGCTAATTCTTGGGACACTCGGATTCTTCGTGTGCGTCACCCGAGGGTACGAGCACTACCTCAGGGTGACCCTTAGTTTGGGGCGGTCACATTCATAATTTTGCAAACCAATCAGCCAGGACGACCGTTTCCCTCACTCCTCGCAAGAATTGAATAATCCACGAATCCGACTATCTCAATTTTAGAACACACCCACACCGAGTTTACCTCCGAGAACACGCAACAGGCAGTCTACCATCAACCAAACACAGCTTATTATCCCTATCATCTTAAAAAATCGTAGGGAACCGCGTATATCAAATACGCGGAAAAACACTTACGTAGTTTTCGGAAAAGTTCTAGCAACGTTTCGCTACGGTACAATCCCGCAACGAAATTCCAAAGAAAGCTCACCTCAAACCCGTAGCCCTGGCACTCCATGATCTTCCTGTTCACCAAGTTCTCCACCTGCGCCTTGAGGACGTTGACCTTCGCCTGGATCAGCATCAGCAGCGGTATAATACTGGCCGGTATGTTGGTGGTGACGTGTAGATTGATCAACGCGTTCACTTGCTGAGCGATCCTGGACTCGACCAGCAGCTGATCCTTGGTGAGCAAACCGATGGCTTTCTGCGCCTTCTCCATGATCTCCTCCATGGTGTTGGTGATGTTGGATCCAGCCACCTTGCGGAGAATGAGTCGCGTGGCCGCGCACGATATGATCCCTGGCAAAGATAAGAATTGGGAGGCCAGGCTTTGCAGGCCGATAGAGGCCGGGCAGTTTCTCCGCGAGCAGACGGTGTCGTCGTTGGTCGCCGTGCAACCGTGCTCGTCGGCATCGCCGGCATTCCAGAAAGGGTTCGGCAGATAATTTCTCGACTCCGGGGATTCTTGCCGGTGCCGGCAACACCCGCAAGCCTGCGACTTCTGCTTGCCGCGAGTTGGACCTGCGAACGGCTCGTAGAGCGGCAACGGGATAGGAAAGGGGACGAACGAGGGTGGACAGTAGATTGACGGCGGGTAATTGAAGCCTGTCGACGGTCCGGTCGCCGGCGACACGCCTCCTTGATTCGACGGATACACCGGAGGGGGTTGCTGCTGGTGACTCGCCGACTGATGACAACCGCTCGGCAAAATGAATATGGGGGCTGTGTTGCTCACAGCGCTGCGAATCTGCTCGACGATGCTCGGAGGCAACTGTCCCCAGTTCGCCTGCGTTTGCGCCACAGGTGGATTCGCCTGGGTTGGAACAATCGCGGGGTAGAGCAACGGGTTCGGGATGAACTGTTGGTTCGGGTTGTACGGCTGGTTCGGGATGAACGGCTGGTTCGGGATGAACTGTTGGTTTGCGAAGACCATGTCCGATTGGTGAAGCTGGTAGAATGGCTTGTAGGTATCTAGGACATTGGACGACACCGATGTGTATCACATTTATTCGATTCGAGAGACTGTTGCTATAAAGAGATAGTTTAATCTTGCAGTTATCGAGAAGGTGGACGATCAATGATTCTGTCATGCATCACGTTTCCGCGATTAAAGAGACTGCTGCTGTGAGCAGATAGTTTAACTTTGCAGCTATCTAGGAGGTAGACATTGGACGACACCGATATGTATCACATTTATTCGATTTGAGAGACTGTTGCTATAAAGAGTCAGTTTAATCTTGCAGTTATCGAGAAGGTGGACGATCAATGATTCTGTCATGCATCATGTTTCCGCGATTAAAGAGGCTGCTGCTGTGAGGAGACAGTTTAACTTTGTAAGTAACTGGGTGGTAGATAGTGGATGATACCGATGTGTATTATTTATTCGAATTGAAAAGGTTGATGCTACGAAGAGATAGTTTAACTTTGCAGCTATCTAGGAGGTAGACATTGAACGATACTGATACGTGTCGTGTTTGAGCAACCGAAGGGATCGCTGCTACGAGGAAGCAGTTTAACTGTGTAGTTATCTAGGAAGTAGATACTACATGATACCAATATGTATCATGTTTGAGTGATTGGAGAGACTATTGCTATGGGAAGATGGTTTAAAAAGTGCACTTTAATGAAATAGTTGACGATCTATTCGATAGAGCGCAAAGAACCAACGCGTTACATGTATGAAATTGTAATTTGACTAAACTTTTGACTAAAGAGTAAAATACTTAAATCAGTATTTGCCCTGTTTTTGGTATTTAATGACACGCAAACATTCTGAAATTAATCTAACACATAAAATTTCTAGAATGCACATTCTGTAATTTGTTTTTAATGTTAAAGCTGAAACTTCTGGTTCCAAAAAGAGATCGAAAAAGTACTATAGTACTTTTATATATACTATATGAATGCATATTCTGTAAATCGTTTTTAATGTTAAAGCTGAAACTTCTGGTTCCAAAAAAGATCGAAAAAGTACTATAGTAATTTATATATACTATATATCAAAGTACTATATATATATATAAAAGTACATATTTTTACCAAGGATTCAGATTCGTGTCGTCAAGATGTAAACGTACATGAAATTAACGCTTTAATAGAATTTGATTGTAAAGGGAGCACGGATTTGAACAGAACCGTAAAGATTCTCGATTCTTAGCTCTTTTCATTTTATCGATGAAAAAGATATGCACAAAACAATCCGTTCCACCTTCGCGAGAATCGTAAAATACGACGGCAGGGTGGCGATGTCAAAGGAAAGCAAGTGTAGTCGTTCAGCACGGCCATTAATCTCCACATTTTTCCGACTGCTTACGTTTACGCGAAGCGGACGCTCTCTAAAAGGCAACGCGCGCGCAACATTTAAGCTGACAAAAGCATGTTCACTTTGTGATATAAGATTTCTTATCCGGGTGGAAATGTTGTCAGTCCCATGTAACACTGTGCAAATACCTGGCGGATTCGCCGGGAAAGCGGCGGGGCTAGTTTGCATTTGTTGAGTGACTGTTTGCGGTTGGTGGAACGGCTGTAAGTTGTTCTGACTCGTCTGCACCGGTATGCTCTGTGCCGGCATAATCTGTGTGACTAAGGGCACGTTATACGGTAAATTAATCATCGATGAGACAGGTTAGGTTCCCCGGTTCTGTCCTTTTGTTCGAGGTGTTCGCGGCCGTTTCCGTGTCACGTTCGATTCCGCGTCGTTGTATAGGTTTCGCTGGCAAGCTGCGTGTGGTCCTGTCACTTGGAATTTCGAATTACGGAAGCCTGGAGGGATTGTCGAATTTTGGGGGATTGGTTTACGGGGCGGGTGGAGGACCTGTTGGTAAATTCCCCTCGGTCGCCGACTGAAGTTGCCTCGATCCCGGGAAATAATAGTTGCGCAAACTCTTTCCAATGAAATTGCTTCCAATTAGTTCCAGGTAACGCGTGGCCACGGCGCACGGTGGCCGATTTCTCCTAAAAATGGGATTCAAATCGTTACGACTTGGAAACTTGCTTATTGAAATAACGAAGCGAAACATACCTTATTTACTTGTCCCATGAGGCTTGTTATCGGAGGGTCTGATGTTGCGCAAAGCGTAACATCGTTTATGGCTTTCAGGCAATAGAACTAAAAAACTTGCCAGGCTTCGTAGTTATTTTTAGATTTTGCGGTTACGGTGATAAGTTATGTATTGCCGTTGTGTACCGCAAGAAAAGATTTATTCTAATTGATTCCGAAGAAGTTACGCACCGATACTAAACACCCAACTAATTCTTCTATTATTATTGTAATTCTTCTTATTAGCTATTATATGAAACCACATTTTCAATTTTTGAGCAACTTGGAGCACGCTCATTTTGATAGAATAGAAGAAACGTGACCATGAAAATTTGAATCATTTCAATTTATTATTAGTAAAAATAAAACCTATCTATTGTACGTATCGCGCAATAATAAATTGACGTATATGATAATTTTTCATTTACAGAACAATTTTCTTTTCATTCCAGTCTTATTTCAAGATCGATCATCAAGATTTAATGAAAAAAATTATGTTAAAATTAGTGAATCGTTGAATTCGTGCCAATCTACAAATGTATTCTATTACGATTCCGAAAATAATAGCTTAAAACCGTCGAAGCTTCTAATTAAGCCAGATTGTAAGTTTCCATTCGCGTTTTTCATTTCGTAGCTTGTCGAATTCTGGAGTACACTATCACAATTTTGAAGTGTACTCAGAACTGTGTCACGAAAGCAGTATCAGTATTGATTTCTAGATAAATGCATGCTTATACAAAATCACACTTAGATGTAATCTAGAATGATAACAATTATATTGAAATCTATTTTTCTCCTCGCGAGAACTTCATCGCTTGACTTTTTCTTGTTCGTGTCGCGAGACATATTGGGTTGGCAACTAAGTAATTGCCGATTTGTTCAATGAAATAAAAATTCTTTTTACTTGGAACGAAGTTTAATCTGTAATGTATTTTCCATTTTGTTCGATGACCTTTTGCCGTCTCTCTGACAACTTGAAAATTCCATGCTCGTAGAAAGTCTGATCCTTTTCGGCCAAAAACTGAGTTAAGTGAGATTTTACAGCGTCATCGTCGTTAAAAGCTTTACCACGAAGGGAGTTGTCCAGGGATCGAAATAAGTGGTAATCCGATGGCGCGAGATTAGGGCTATATGGTGGGTGTAACATCAATTTCCAACCAATATCCATGAATTTTTGCCGAGTGGACAAAGACGTGTGCGGCCTAGCATTGTCCTGCTGGAAAATGACACCTTTACGATTGACCAATTCTGG